TGAGGAGGCTGCTTAGCAAAGCTCTATCGTTAGCTATTTTTAAATTCTGTAGGCGTAACTAGAATTTAATTTCTTTACTCAGCGCTGTTTTGGGATGCCAGACAAACAAACACACACATACATACATACATATATGCATGGCATCGTGGTGGTCTTTTCATTCGCATTGTAGGCCAGTGTTGCCGAGTCAGCTTTTTTTACTAAGAGTAAAACAAATGTAACAAAAATTAAATAGAACAATAAATTCATTGCTTTTTAATGTACTTTAACTTTCTTAACATATTGACAACTTTATTTAATTGTTTGCCATTGTGTCGATATTTGTCCATTTCGATGGTAAAGATTCCATACTGCTTAAGCTATCGATGAGTATTGATAGCTTTTCGAGAAATTGTAAAACGATCGTTACTGCCATTATCGATATTTCGACACTATCTGAGCTTGGTTTCTCAATAATGGAAATGAAAACGAACGAAAAATCTGCATTCGAATTTATTCAGCTATTTCTGGCTTCTTTCAATTGCTCCTCTAGCTCTTTTTGCCAACACTGTTGTAGACTTAAGCGTTTGGTTCGTGCCGCTCGCAGAAAGAGTAAACAAGTCGCGTTAAACGTGAGCGCGTGTGGGCGCATCATGTTAGGCACATTTCACATTTCGAGGCAAGACAAAGCAATGTCTTTTTTTTCTGTGGGGGCTTAAATTTTCCATGGCTTGGCGGTTTCTATGTGGAACAGATAATTGCATGTGTGTGAGTGTGACGTTCACGTTTGCTAGCTAAGTCCCTAAACTGGGCCTTCCGTCGCCTTCCCTAAATGTCTTCAATTTCTGTGGCCATATTTTTATCTCCGATTTCTCGACTTAAGCAGCTGCACGTGTATATGTGAGTGTGGGTGTGTGTGTGTGTGAATGTTTGTGGCAACTCGCGCATAAAACAGTTTAAGAAATTTCATCTGCCTTGCATTTTAATGATTTAATTTTGCATAAGCTTATATGTACATACACTCCAATGTCACATATCTCGTACTCGTTCTTCAGCTTAATATACATACTTATATATATGTATATATAAAACATATCTGCATAATTGTATATGTGTGCGCTCCTGCGCTCTTCTTCTCCTCTTGCTCGTTAAACGTATTTGCTCATGAAAATAAATTTGCTTTCTCTCCTTTGACTGACGTTGCATTTGATTCAATTCACTCGGGCTTGATTCTACTTGCCTGCTCAACTCTCATCCTGTCAGGCAAAGGTTTTGCCTCTTAATTTGTGGAGCACGCATACACATGTAGATTTGAATTTACATATGTATGTGTGTCTATCTGGCTTGTTAACAACATTAAGATTTGGCATAATTATTCACAGGTATGTACTATTTAAGTTGATTATTGCGTCTTTGCAACTATTTTGCATAAAAGCATAATCACATTTACACTCTGCATGCAATTATCCTTTGACTTCTCTGATTCATGCGATAATTTTCGATGATTATTTATGCACTATTTACCCATGCTGTTCTCAATTACATATTTAATAAAAAATCTGGCAAAAACTATACTTCAAAAAAATGGGACACATTTTTATTGATTAAACTGTTTGCTTATTTCTTTAAATACAATTTTATTGGCTGTGCTAGAAATTTTAAAATTTATTTTCTTTTTCAATAAATATTTAATTTAATATTGTTTAAATTTGGTTAATCACTGCTTTAAAAACTTTACTAAGTATTTCAATCATTTGCAGCTTCAAAAAGCAACAACGCTTACAGAAACTTTAACTTCGATATGCCGAACTGCCTATTTGTCTCTACTTTGTCGCTTTAACTCTATTTCCAATCAAATCATTCTGATGCTCTAATCCCCTCCTTATCGTGTATCATTCTGCAAATCTCCTTCCACATGTCCTCTGTACAATGCACACCACAATCAAATATTCTCTTTGCTTAGTCTTTTGTTTCAAGACTGTTCCCCAATGCCTGCTTCACAACAAAGAAAGTCTTAGACAAACAAACTTTTCCCAGCGGCTTCTAGACTCAAGTGCCAACTGTTGCCTTTTCGCAACAATAGCCAACAACAACAAACTATTCACATCAAGTGCAACTCACAGTTGTCAAAATTAGTAAAACTACAATCGAGCTGAGTGTCAGTTGAACTCTCAACTACTTTAATATGCGAATGGGAATGGAAGGCAGGTTTTCGGACTCATTCAACAATATATAGTAGTGTGTTCGCTTGTTTCGTCTTCATTATTTCATTTTCCTCAACAATTTCTCAAAGGATATTTGTAATTTCCGTTAAGGACAACTGTCACAGATACACGCACGAGCAAAATGGCTGCCAAGGCAGCTCCCTGCTGAAGCTGACAAATTTGTTCGCAAAAAAAAGGCTACTAATGATGTCGGTAAACTATGCCAACTGTGTCAGTTATGTCAGTTTCGTGTGTGTTGTACTGTGTTGTTGGTTGTGTCTAGTCGTGTCTCGCATTATTTCCTGTCAATGGGGCTGTGGCTGTTCTCGTTCTCGTCCTTGTTGGCCATATCCCTGCCACATTTCACACCTTCATGGCATTGCGACACATTGGGGAGCGCCAACACGCAGCCAAACTAAATCCGCCTCATCAACTGTGTCGCATCGCATCGCATCCCTTCGCATCGTCCTGTTTCGTGGCGTCCTGCATTTGTTTGCTGATTTTTTCCCATGACTTTCGCACGCTCGCGCGCGTGTTGCCGAGGACTTTTGGTGTCTGCGTGCCTGAAATGAGGTTTTATTTGGATTTTATATTATGACTTTCACACACACACGCACACCCAACAGTTGTCGAGCGACTCTCAACACATCCCTTCGCATGGCCCATGGCCCCTCATCACTCGACGCTTGTCAACCCATGTAGTTTTATAGTTTTTCGGTTTGCTGTCAGTCGACTCTACCTCAACATCTCTCTCTATCTCTCCATACTCGTATACAGTATATGTTAGACATGTTTTGCTCGCAACTACGCTTTACTTTCCATGGAAATATTTACGGATAAGCATGGAACATGAATGTTTTAAATTATTTATATTTCTCAAGAACACATAATGAAATGCAGTCTAAACTAAATAGTCTGTATTAAAATCAACTAAATATATCATGTAGTTTTATCAGTTGATTCTACCTCAACATCTCTCTCTCTCTCTCTATCTCTCCATAATCGTATACAGTATATGTCAGACATTCCACTTTTCAAGGAAATATTTAGGGATAAGCATGGAACATAAATGCTTTAAATTATTATTTCTATTTCTCAAGAACACCTAATGAAATGCAGTCTAAACTAAATAGTCTGTATTAAAATCAACTAAATATATCATGTAGTTTTATCAGTTGAATCTACCTCAACATCTCTTTCTCTTTCTATCTCTCCATAGTCGTATACAATATATGTCAGACATTCCAATTTTCAAGGAAATATTTACGGATAAGCATGGAACATGAATGCTTTAAATTATTATTTTTATTTCTCAAGAACACCTAATGAAATGCAGTCTAAACTAAATAGTCTCTACTAAAAATGTCTATATATTTTTGCCTAGCACTGTAGCTTGAGCCAGTCGTGTACGTGTGTGTATTTTTATGCGCGGCAATTGCAGATGCTGCTCATTTCTATAACAACACGTACACACGAGTATTTTTGTGTACATGTATATTATTCCCATGCAACAATGTCGAGCCCGCAGGGAGGGAGGAAGGTATGGAGCTATTCGAGCCTTCTGGCTCGCTCTTAATGACAACGCGCTTTTATTTGCCGCCGTTAATTTTGTGACAGGTAGCGAATAATTGCAATTAAATTGTAGTTTTTATGTAACAACTAACAGTTGGAGGTGGCATTAAAGAGCACATCACTTAATCCGCTCTATTATAATTATTTTCAAATGTTCGTCACAGACTTTAAATGTCTGCCAATATAAAATGGATAATCTATGAAAATTAATTAAAACTACATGAACTGCCATAAAGATGGACTGCATTTAATTAATTTAAAATGGCATTTTTAGCTTTAAGCTAACACCGACTGTGCTGATGCGTACACTTTTTAACGAACAGTTTTGGTCGACTTCAACTTAAACGTTTTTATAAAAACTTCGTCCACCTTGCAGCTGTGCAGTACAAACTTGGCAGCAATAAAGCACCAGCACTGTGCATTCAATGGTCATTCAATAAGTTCCAAACTATTTTTATATTTCTACAAGTCCTTTATCGTTTCAAAGTTGTTCTTGGACTATTGAGATCGATATTTTGAGATGCTAACATTTCCAGCAAAATTCAAAGCTGTGGAATTTATATAACGAAGGACAACAGTATTGCTTTCCATTTTTCATCGAAATACATTGTTGTTATCAACTGTCGGCTGCTTGTGAATCGCACTAGACAGGTCGCAAAGAATATCTTAAGTATTTAAGACTCTAAAAACATAGCTATTGAAAATAATGATATTTTACCTACGAATTTGTAACTTATTTAAAAGCAGCTTTAAATATACAAACATTATAAATTCAATTTAAAAGTAAAATAAAATAAAAATAAGCATACAAATGTGATTAGCCTACACTAATTAATAGCTATTTAGTTTACTGAATGGAATAAAAAATTATATAAACATGCGAATTTGTAGCGATTCCTACAAAGATCTTCTTCTTGCCATAGAAAACCGAGCCCCGATCTAAGCAGCAGCAGATTAATGAATTATCTGCTGTTTAGACATATTTCAAAATTGAGTTAAATTTAAATAATTTTAAACTGCATTTAATGATGGGAAAAATGTTCAACTAGATTCCGCCAATAAAAGTCTGTTTAGCTTCAGAAAAACAAAACTTCAGTTTTGAAGCTATCAAATTTCACAAATATTTCTCTGACTTAGTAGTCGGACGAGCAAATAAACAAACAAAAATATATACATATATATATAAGTATTACAAAAATATTTTAGTCACACTACACCATTCAAAAAGAATTTCTGAAATAAAAAGTAAATTACATAATTTTCGCGCATAATGGAGACAGTTTTGGGCATTAAAGGCTGCGATTTCGTTATGCTCGGTAGCGATACCATTCAAATCAAGTCTGTGGTCATCGTGAAAAGTGGTAAGTTAGACAGACATCTTTCAGATGACAACACTCTAGACTCTGTCCGACACAGATCATGTAAAAATCTATCGCCTTAACGATTTCAACATGATGGCTCTAACTGGAGATACAGGCAATTGTATGCAGTTCGCCGATTACGTTAAAAGACACGTTAAACTATATCATGTGCAGAATGGATATGCAATGGAACCACTGTTAGTGGATAAGTTCACTCGCAGCTCCTTGGGGGACTATATACGCACAAATATGAACTTTAAAGTCTCTACGCTGCTGGCCGGGTAAATGAAAAGTCGATCAAATAAATGCACAAATTCTTGTTATAACATAGGTACAACATTGTAGCTATGATCAGAAAACAGGACCAAACTTGCAATTTATTGACCAGTTCGGCTCCTCTCAATCAATCAATCATGCTGGACATGGACTCGGCAGCTTGTTCTGTTCAAGCATATTTGCCCAATATTGGCATGACAAGCTGAAAGTACCAGAGGCGTATGAAATTCTAAAGAAGTGCGTCACACAAATGGACAAACGGTTCCTGCTAAATGTGAAAAACTTTGATGTTTATATGGTGGACAAGAACGGCATACGTCGACTTGAAGCCATAAATTCAAAGACGTTAAAATCTCCTGCTAGTCTTTTTGCTGAAAAAAGCGTTTTCCCTCCCACTACAGCAAGGAAATAGATCTTGCTTCTGTGAGAATTAATATACTCAGCAAATTACTTTTTCTTATATCCGTTTAGTTCCTCGTTACATTTATCGACTAACAATTTGAAATGGTACTAAAACTTAAAAACAAACAACACTAATTTTCGATTTAACTTAAAGTTTGTGGCGGTTTCTATTTAATTTTGGACTAGAACTATACTAGGTCCAGCAGATGATCCAGCAGATTCGTTTTTGTCCTTTTATGTACTTGAAAAATCATAATAACAGTTTATTTTACACCTTATATGGATTTGTATCTGAAATAATTATGTTGTTGAACCAGCTTTGAAAACAGTCTAACAGTGGTTTAAAGGAAATATTGAAACCAAACCATGCAACATGGATTTATCGAATATATCTTAATGTGAGAAGAAAACATTGATTATATCTTTAGATATCACAATCCATTACATGTTTTCTGTAGGCGCAACAGCTGAATGGCATAAAAATCATTTTATTTATTCCAATGCTGTTTCTGGCTCCATCTGCCAGTGATTCGAGCATAGCGAACCAAATTAGTTATTTATTTAGAATTAAGTGGTGACGCAATTTCGAATTTATAATTTCTTTGGAGTTAAATATGATAATATTATGCCGGCAATGGTAGTAATTTTTGCCCGTATTGTATTCTCTGATTACGTTAAGTGTTGTGTTTGCTGCATTCAGTTTAGAAATTCCGCACCTTCGGGCGTCAGTCCCTTACACCTCCTTAACACAATAATCCCAGCTGATGCCAATTAACCCAATTCAATGAGTCTCATGAATACGCACTTCTACCTGCCATTCACCATCAATCTTGGACTGAAATTTGAAAAGTATAACCTTATTTGCGGCGGCCAAGCAAGCATTAAATGAATTGTCTCTTCAGTTTTCATTGGAGAGCACAAGGAAGATGCAAAAAAATAATTCATAGCGTACTTCTGAGCTGAGTGGTGAATGAAAATGAGAATCAAAAAGCATCATGATGGGCTACGAGTATACATAAATAAATCCTTTAGAAATTGTTTGCTACCTAAGCTAAGCTGTAAGCGACGCTGCCACTCAAGCGTCTGCTTAATGCCACCGAGCAAGAAGTAAACGAAGCGACAAAGGGACCACCAACTCAACTTCTATCCGAAAGCGGTTAACTCGTGCGGTTAAAGCTGCTTCCTTCCACTCAATTATATAAAGCTGCAGCTGCTAGCGCATAAAATACTCAAAAATACAAACGTACAATCCCATTTTCGTGCAGTTTGAAATATTGGAAAACTTTTTCGCTAAGTAAACCAACGACACCAACGACGCACTTTTTACAGTATTTGCCTCCCCTCTACTGTAAATATTAGCCAAAAACTTTCTGTGCACTTAAGCTGAAATTGGCATTGAAGTTTTTGGCCAAACCGAGGTGCTAAGTAATGTAATCAGACAAACTAAGCAACTACCCAGCCACTCACACTTGATGCAACAGCCCCCTCCAGTCTAGTTAATAAGTCCAATACAAAAACTTAGAAGCTCTAGAGCGCCGACTTCGCATCTTCCCGGCAGCCGTTTATGTGTCGCATGCTAATGCAACATCATAAAACCACCGAAAAACTAAACAAACTAAGCGTTGCGTAAACTACCAATACAAAAGCAAGCCAGCCATGACAACAATGCGGGCCACATTCCTAGACATAAGTGCTGTTGAACGCAATGGAAAGAATTTTGGATTTCCTAACTGACTTTCTTTCAATTGCTTTCAATTAAAACTCCATATTTGAGAAAGAATTGCAAACTCAGTAATGATGTGGTTTACAAAATAAAATCAGAGAAAGGGAAATCAATCATTTTCATTAAAACATATATATAATATATCATTTGTTTAATACGAATACAAAACTACAAAATTCAACTAAACTACAAAACAAAGCTTGAACAAAATCAGAACTTTAAACAGTCATTCATCTCCTCATTTTATATTTCGTATTCGTGTCCTGTATTAAAATTTATTTTCTCCATTAAACAATCGCCTTCTACAGAGCATTTTGGAAACATAACACTATTCAGTTGTACACAAATACTATATAAATATATATATTTATATAAAAAAAAAAAACTACAATATTCAACTAAACTACAAAACAAAGCTTGAACAAAATCAGAACTTTTAACAGTCTTTCATATCCTGTACTAAAATTTATTTTCTCCATTAAACAATCGCCTTCTATAGAGCATTTTGGAAACATAACACTATTCAGTTGTACACAAATACTATATAAATATATATATTTATATATAAAATTTGTTTAATACAAATACAAAACTACAAAATTCTACTAAACTACAAAACAAAGCTTGAACAAAATCAGAACTTTAAACAGTCTTTCATATCCTGTACTAAAATTTATTTTCTCCATTAAACAATCGCCTTCTATAGAGCATTTTGGAAACATAACACTATTTAGTTGTACACAAATACTATATATCCTGCTAGTCAGAATCCACTCAGTGCAACCGCATGGCCGTTTGTGTTGGCGTCCCTCGAATGCGTTCAGGTTCAGGTTGTGCCTGGTGCTGTAAGCAACACCGAGTGTATTTGCTGAGCACTCAAAACGCGCACTTTAACGACTTGGTGGGCACGAGGATGGGGCCCGCGACAAGGGCAAGGACCAGAACAACGCAGAGTCCTGGCGGCATCACCCACAGCCAACTTGATGACGACAGGGCGTCGCGTATTTGTGAACGGAAACGTGTACGTGGAAAATGGAGTAAAACATTTATGTCGTTCTGTTCGCGATAGTGGTAGTGGAAGCAGTTGCCTCCTCATGTTGGTGTCGGTGTGGTTGTGTGAGTGTGTGGGTGTGTGGGTGTGCACTTATTATATATGCAAGCAAAATCACCAAAATCCAAACGCATTGACAGTGCTTAAGTGTTTTGGCTGTCGCGTCTTAGCCATCGCCCCACTTGACTGACTCAGTCGACTGAATCGCCCTCCCTACCTGTGCACAACGCCGTGAAGTTGACTTTGGGGGCAACAGTTGAACAGTTGAAAGGACAACAGAGTGGCAGCAACAAATGGGAGCTGTGGGTGAGCTCAGCCCGGCTCTGGCATTGTGGCAGCAGGTAGCAGCCATGCATGTGGCTCATAATAATTGTGTAACAGGACTGGGATTTGAGGAGATGGTGGGGGAGTTGCTGATGGTGATGGAGAAGGAGGGGGAAGGGGGAGCACACAAAACTCACCAAGGAGTGCAGGCAGTATTAAGCACCATCTTTGTGTGTTTTGCTTACATCCGCTGTTGTTGTTGTTTCTATAACTGCTGACAATGTTTGTGTGCTGTTGTAGTTGTTGTTGTTGTTTCCGCTGCGTTGCTTAAATAATCCCAGTCTCAGCACTTATCGCCGCACGTGCTCGACTCGACTCGACTGACAGGCTCGCAAACATTCTTTAATGCTAAGGACTGCAAGACACAGTGGTTGAACCTAAACCAAAAAATAGGCAAAAAAAAAAGCATCATAAAATTCACTCAGAAACATACTTGTAGTTGAAAGATATATTTGAAAATAGAGTTTGAAGATATAAAGATTTGCTGCAGGCTCAGTTTTCCATTTTTTAATGTCCACATTTAATAAAAAAGAAGATATTCAGCAACGACATTTAATTCTCTCTTATATACATATAAACATAGTAAATAATATATTCCTTGACTCTACAAACAACTTATTTCTTTCAAATCGATCATAATTTCATATAAAAAATATCTATAATATGTTTATTTTTGAACATTTTTGTAAATTAAAATCAACATTTTATTAAGGTATTAACATTCATGAAAATATTGCGCTGAGCCGGCGAAATGGGAATTTAAAGCCACTGTGGGACGTCTGTTTGCATACCTAACGGCGTTTATAAAGCGCATATAATCGTAAAAAAATTAGCTTATGTGGAATACAAAGAAAGACATATTTATATATATGTAGAGAAAAATAAAACAAACATACAAACACGCTGATGAACAAACAGAGTTCTTTGCTTAAGAGATGCCGCTGAGCTTCGTTCGCGAATGGCGGACGACAAGAAGTGTAGCATACTTGCGTGCGCACGCTCCGTTATAATTCACTTAAGCGACCATTTTGATTAAACGCTCTACATTAGCAGCATAATTTTAATTAATGCCCGGCTTAAGAGACACAAATTGCTTGCTTAAATGAGCATCAATTCATTTTGCGCGTCATTTTAGAAATCACACTTAATTGGGCAACGGGCATTATGTGCCTGATTATGTAAAAGGGAGGAATAAAATACAATTATTGTTCAGCATTATTGTCTGTTGAGGTAAAATTGTTCTATTTAATAATATTTTTTCTAAATTTGCCTGCCTCTTGGTCACTCTATTTATTTTTGAATTCAATTCTTCCAAAACGGAATCATAAAATTTGTATACCGAATAGAAACAAAGAGAGTAAAAGAAATAAATTTAAAAAAACCGTGATTTCGTGCTTTCAAAAAATAAAACTGCAAACCTACGTTTTTATTCGAGCTGCAGCAAAGAAGAAAAAAATACACATTTCATGTCACAGTTTTCATTTCCGGTTGTCTGTGCGCATCCGGACACCATTTTTACATAACCTCAAATATGCTAAAACCAATGTCGATTTACCATTTGATGTGCATGCACTCGGCTCTTGCTTTTTCAATTCAGACGCAAACGGTTTGTGTGCCCAAGGCACCCATTCGCAATGCAGCTACGGTAACATAGAATATACTCCCGTGTATATATTTACTGATCTAGTAACCTATGTGTTTAAGAGGGTAGCTTAAAAGCGCTGTATAATTCATAACGTATGTAATTCGGATACTCCCAAGCCATCTCTCTGCATTTAACCTTCCCAGAGTGTAACCATTTGATTTATACAGGGTGCGCCATCTTTTTGAATATCTTTGAAAATAAACAACCGATTTTCAAGTATGAGATATTTTTATATAATTTGGTTCTTGAACTGAGGTTTTCAACACTGGTCAAGTCAATCGGTTCACTAATGACAAAGTTATTCAATATATACAATAAATGTATTTCCTTTTAAATCATCATACTATCTACGTTATAAAAGGCACCATTTAAGAAAGTAAAATTAATTGTCGGGCTATAATCCTAGTCAATATATTTGTTGTAATCAGGAAATGAGTTTTAGATTATTCAAAGCTTTATCAATTTAGTTTGAAGTGTTTGAAGATCGTGAAGATCATTTATAAATATCTTAAAATTGTAACGATATATTTTCATT